GCAGGAAATCTTTATTTTAATAATTAATTACCCTGAGTGAAGTTGGAAGGGGGCTCAGGAGGTCATGTAGCCCAGCCTCCTGCTCTGAGAAGGGTCAGCTGTGAGATCAGAATAGGTTGCTCAGGACTTTGTGGGACTTTTTTTCGCTCATTTTGGAGTAGGTTTTTGTTTTGACTCTGGTTCCTGAGGAACCAGGAGGATTCACATGTCCCTACAAAGCCCTGTTAATCTACAAGCTGGGACACCATATAACATCTTGATCCCATCAGTAGGCTTTTAAGGGGTGAACAAAACTACTCTGCTTGTGTGAGCACTGGCTGTATAAGTGCTGAGAGAAGAGATCCTGATTTTCTGCCCAGATGTCCCTGTTCATGGCAGTTGGGTGCTTGCCAGTTTGAAGGAAAAAAAAAAAGAAAGTGCATATTCCTGGCTTTGCTGGCTGAAAAGCTCAGTAACAACAGCTCCTGCATGCTAATTGACCTCTTTTTGGCAACTTCATCAAAGGCACTGCAGAATAAGGAGGCCGCTGATTGAACTGTTTCTTCATCCCCAGAGGTGGTCCCTCTTAGGGTTGAGGCACACTGTCAGGGCCGGGGGAGAAGCTTGGAGGGCGATTAGCCAAAAAGCTTTCACTTGCTTCGCCTTCCTTGTGATACCTGCCATGAGACTGGAGATGTGAGTGGTTTGCTGCACCTCCATTGCCTCCTGCATCCCATACAGCAGCTGCCATGCTGCAGCTGCCCTACAGGTGCTCGCAAGGAGGGGAGAGCGGGTGATGCAGCTCAGAGAAAATCTGTAATGCTTAAATCTGATGGAAACATCTCACGAGTGGGGAACCACCTTCAAGGAAAACCTGGCTGCTGAAGCTGAGGCAGATGCTGATGAACTTGACTGCATTCTTTTCTCAGAGCAGTCGTGTTCGTGCTTGTTCATGCTGCTGCAAAGGCATGCAGAAATCCTGCAGAAATGAGGCGTGCAACTTTCAGCTGATTAATTAGCGGAGCATGAAAAGAGAAAATAATAACCATTTTGCTGGTACCTACTAATAGGTTTTAAAATAATTTGCTGGTTCTTCTTGTTGTTGTTGCTTTTGTGACAAATGGCATTCGCATACTTCAAAAACTTTATTTTGTTCCAGGCAGGGCCAGAAGTCCAAAATATTTGAACTTTCTGCTCAATATGAAGCCCAGAAAAACCCCTTTCGGTAGAAATATTTCATAGCATATGAACTGAAATCCTTTGTTGTGAATCAGATCAGTGTTAAACTCTCAGATCTGACAAATACCATGCTGGAATTTGTTGTCTCTTGGGGAGGACTTTAGCTAAAGATAGAGCAAAAATAGCACTGCAAGCATTGCCTTTGGGTGAAAGCTTTCCTCTTGCAGCTGTTGAGTGCTCATTCCCTACTCAGCAAACAAAGCAAGTGTGTGCAAAATAAATATTGATACCACACTCTTGCCACAGTGGCCTGGCTGACTCCATAATCATGTGTCTGTATAATGAGTTACAACAGGAGCTTGCATGACACCACATACATCACTGTCATGTGAGAGGGCAGATAGAGTTACGTTGCTATGATGGCCTGATATGGGGCAATGCACCGTTCTTGGGGTGCCCATGCAGCCTTTTCCTGTTACTGAAACTGATGATTTGTATCTGTGATTCACCAGCAGTGACTCTCTGCCTTTTTTGCTTTTAGTGATGAAAACACACGGAAAGACTTGAAGACGCTGCCTGTCTTTCCCACCAAGACACTGCAGGAACATCCCTCGCTTGCTTACTGGTGAGCTGTTTAATTCAATTTAAATGTAAATCTTCGCTGTGGATGGCAATGACAGGACTGCTCTTAGACAGCCTTGCAAACTGTTTTTACAATTCTCAGCCTGTGTTATAAAGGACTTCAAGTTAATCACTTGTGTTCAAGCATTTCCAGTTTTAGAAGGTTATGAATTGCACAAGAGCCGATGCAAATCCCTCATTGAAAGTTCAATCATGTTAATGAATCGGAGTAAGCGGGGTACCACACATTAGAAAGAGCTAATCTGAACCCCAGCCAAGTCTGTGTTTGGAAAGAACACCTTTTCAACCAACAAGCAGCAGAGCCTCTGTGATGTGCTGACCTTGGCTGGTGCCAAGTGCCCACCCAGCCACTCTCATGCTCCTCAACAGGCCAAGGGAGAAGACGAAGTAGAATAACTGGAAACAGAAAGGCAAGATCAGTTCTGTGTGGCACGAACGTGCCATGAAGGAAACAACACTTGGAATGAATCAACAATATTGTTTCCTTGTGATTCGTGCCCTTTATTTGGGTTTGTCTTGCTCATTTATTTCATTTTTCAGGCTCGATGTATACTTGAAGCATTTTCACGCATGCTGGTCCTCTGTTGTGATTTATTTTTCAGAATGAATACTGTTGGGTTTTTCTTTGTGTTTAGGTGTCTGACATTTAAGTGCATATTTCATGTTCTGCTTAAAACAAGATGTTTAAGTATATAGCAGAGAAAAAAAGTGGAAATGCCATTGCTGACAAATCTATAGGTCTTCATCTATGAAATGCCAGGTGAAAAAGTGCACTAGAGTGAAAAACTTCTGCCTTACATATGGAACACTAACCGGCCCCTGAAGCTTTGGTTCTTTAGAACATGAAATGAGTTTGTACAATTAGTACCATTCTTCTGCAGCAGCATCTGCAGCAGATCTGAAACGGTTTGTTAATTAGCCCGGAACGCAGCATGCGATGGTGGGGATTAAGATGCAGCTCCAAGCTGCTTAATGAAGAGTGGGAAAGAAATGGGTAAGAAACAGAACGTTAGCTAGAGTGAGAAATGCACAGAGGGGCACTTCTCTGCATGCTGAGCGGGCAGCTAAATGTCAGCACGTGCTGTCATATGTGGAAAAGTCGGTGAGCCTCTAAGTTGGTTTTTGTGCCTGTTTTGCAGTGAGGATAGAGTCATTGAACATTATACACAAATAAAAGGTCTGACCAGAGGACAAGCCATTGTTCAGTGAGTATGGCACTTAAAAGCATCATCTTTACAAGTCAATGCTTATTGTTTCTCTTCTCCTGAGGTGACTCTTCTGGTCCTTGTTGCTTGCAAACTTCATTTTTTGTATCTTATCAGAATTATCTTTTATGGAGTGATATTTTCCAGGTGAGGAAACCCGTGACAAGTTTCCTCTATCAAATACCTCCCATGTAGAAGAAACAACTTGGACTCCATTCATAGCTCTTTCTCTGTACCCTGCTTGCTGTCACTTTCACACCAAACTCAAAGGGAAAACCATATCTTATGTTCTGTAAGGAAGACAAGCACATCTTTGTTCAAATACTCAGAATTTAGTTCTCAAAAAACAAGGTCTTGCAGGATCACCAAGAAGGTTGAGAAGACTTCCATAGCCACGTGCTGCAGACAACTTGCAGGCTTTGTCACATAGCTCAGTGCCTGCAGCTCTGTCTCAGTAGTTCAGGGGCTTCTTTCAACAGGAACAGAGAAAAAAATTATCTGTTCAGTGATTGTCTGCATTGCATTGTGAAACAATTGTACAACTGCTTAAACAATTTCATTTGGAGTCTATCCATTTTTACCAAAGCACCATCATGAAGTAATTAGAGGCAGATGTTTCCCGAAGGCTTATAAGTTCAGTGCAGAACTGGAAGCTTTGCTTTCTGTTCTCTGAATTTCTGATAAGAGATTGAATGCTTTGTTGTATGAGAAATCTCCCATTCATTTTATCTGGGCCAGAATACCACATCTTGCTTGAGCCTGGGTGATAGGTTTTTTTCTTTATAGGCATAGGCATTAAATCATTACAGCTTTCAAAATATGCAAATGATAAATGACATGTCCTGAATGTATGTGTGAAAAAAAAATATGTTAATAGATATCATTTCCTCTAGAAAAATTAATCTGATAAGCTATAAATCTGTCTACAGGTACATGAGAGTGGTAGAAGCTTTGCCAACATATGGTGTCCATTACTATGGAGTAAAGGTTAGTAAACGTCCATAGATAATGTGATTGCTTAGCTTATTACACGTGATTACATTCCTAAAGGAGCAATTTGATGATTCAGTACCCTCCTATCAAGAATTAAACCCCACATTTTCCAACCTTTTTACTTTATGCCTCTTCAGTGTTAGAGTGGTTTCAGAGAGCAGCAAAACATTGTGCAGAAGAAGACAGAGAGGAACCTTCATTCAAAACCTTCTGTGGTTCTATCAGGAGCTAAATTTGTATCAGCTTAACTAAACTGGATATCACTTCTAGATTTGAAGTAATTAATGTTTGCTGCAGAGACATTTCTAATTTAAAAAAAAAAAGTAGAAAAGACAGCTTCTAGGTGATCAGTAGGTGCATATGTAAAGTGAAGTAACGCTGTATATAGAATGGTATTTTTGGAGAGTGATGAAAATGCAACATTTATTCCCATTTGTAGATGTAGATTTGTAGAGGCTGGACAAACATGTTTTCTTGCAGAGGAGCTCAGCAAGGGTGACGTCTCCCTACTTTCAGTTGTGGCCATGACAGTGGTACCTGAGAAGCTGATGGTTTGCACTGTTCTTCATGCTTGAGTTTCATGGATGCAGTCACTGGCCACAGTTTTTTTTCTGTCCCATATCCCTATCACTGCCACCTCTTGCAAGGAGTGACACTCATTTGTTGCAGCAGTGCTCTTGCTTTTTTGTCCACTTTGCACAACCACCGCATAGTTTCTTACCTCTGCCTGAGAAGGCAATGGAAAAAAGTTTCAACGTTCACTTTAGCAATCCACTTCACATCAATTTGTTTGCAAAAATTGTCCTTCTTCCTTACCTACCTGTACTTGTCTCAGAATGAAACAAGCTGTCATCTTGGAATTGCTTACTTCTTAAGTAGCTCTTGGTTCATGCAGGCTTCTTTTTTCAGGATAAACAAGGAATCCCTTGGTGGCTTGGAATAAGTTATAAAGGAATAGGCCAGTACGACTTACAAGACAAAGTTAAGCCCAGAAAAGTAAGTTTTCTGCATCTGATTTTTCTATTTGGGGTGGGGGTGGGGAGGTGCTGCATGCTGGGATATTGTATAAGCTGTTGTTTATTAATCTAATGAGCAAAATACAAAGGTCTGGAGGCAGAAGAATTCTGTTAAATTCAGTAAAATTCTGCCCTCTCACATAATACTGGAAGTTGTGTGTCACGGTGAGCAGCTGCCTTTGGGTGCTTTGTCTTCTTGAATTTGGTGGTCTCAGGGCAGTCTCCACAGAACCTTGGCAGCCTCCAAGGATATCTGCAGAAGCATGAAGCAACTGGGCTTCTGCACATCCCAGTGTAAAAGCCTTCTGCACAGACAGCGTTTCCTTTGGCTTTCAGAGGTGTGCTTTGTGTGTGAAATGATGAACAGATGTCTGTGAAATACAAGATGAACTGGATGGAGCTGCAGGCTTGCGTGGGCAACTGTATGCTTCTGTGACACAATGAATTATAAGGGGGAACTGAGAGTAAATGCCAAATCATGGAGGTCGCTCTCCTTTTCCACTTCCCTTCTCCCCAGCATGTTTTCTCCGGGAGAACTCTGCCAACAACTTCAGTTGTTGCTTAAGTGGGGCAGAGGGTCCCATATTACACTGCTGGCTCCCATCAGCCGCCCATCAGTCAGCCCTGACAGGCTCTGCTGGCAGCCCTGGAAATCCATCCTGCAGCCCAAGCACACGCTGTGTTGGGAACTCGCCCAGTCCTGTACATGCATAATTCTCACTGACATGGGACTGAGCCCTGCAGTCTTTGAGGAGTTGGTTAACACCGTTGGCAGTGGGTAGGAGCCAAGGGTGCATGTGAGGGAACCGTGCTGTCGGGCTGGATGTGAATGGTTTCTTTCTGGTCATGTCTTTGTTGGAATGCTGAAGCCATGAGGAGGTGCAGACATGGGGTTTTGCTGTTCTCTTTTCCCTGGAATTGTCTGGGCAGGAGTTCACATGAAGCGTGTGCGTCCTGCCAGGGAATTTCACATTTGCAAAATGATATTGTTTAGTGCATTTGTGCCAAAAAAACACTGCTTAACAGAACTTCCTCGTGAAGAGCAATTCCCTTTCAAGTTCCCAATTTGATCTTCCTTTTCCAAGACAGGCTACGACTTGGTCTCTTTTGTGCTATATTTATACATCTGCGTGTCCAAGATTGAACTCTCAAATCTGTGCTTTGTGCAGTAGAACACTTGCATTAGCCCCGGGTGTCTTTTACCACGCTTGTTAAAAGATGACACTGACACAAGAGGAGCCCTAGAAAATCAAGACAACGTTAATGTAGCATTGATTATCAGAGCAGAGCAACAAGCAGCTCCTCTTGCTCTCTCAGTGCTTTCCTATATTTAGACATCTATGAGATTTTCCTATCAGACCAAATACAGACCGTTCTCCAGCCAAGATGTCCAGCTGTGACCATCAGCTCTCTCCAAGAAAATACGGCCTTGCTGGCTAGAAGCATTGCTTTGCCAAACACTTCACACGCTTGAGGATTTCGGTTTACAACATCAACCAGACAGATGAAGGAAATTTTTTGAGGCCAGCAGGGCCCAGATACCAAGTCACACCCTGCTACAGTTTCTTATGGGATGTTGCCTTTGAACACAGCAGGAGTTACATTTAGGGGAAAAAATTTAAAAGTAAATAAGCCAAAAATATCCCCAACCAAACAGCATTCAGAAGTCACCTTTCCTGTGGAGGTGTTGCAATGGAAATTGTAACAGTTCTATGCTGTACTGTAATTATCATTGTAATTATACAAGGGAGAATGGAGATCAAAAGGGAAGGTGGGGAAGAGAGGCTTAAATGCAGAGGGAAGGTTTAATGCCAGTAAGCTCATGGAAAAAGCGTGGATGGATACAGCTGTAGTATCGCAATGTGCTCATGGATTTGTGTCTGGTGCTCACAGGAGAGGATAAGAATGGCAGAACCTCTGTTTGTGCTGAGTCCTGCCTACATTTAACACTGGAACAGGTTGTCCAAGGAGGCTGTGGATGCCCCATCCTCAGAGGCATTTGAGGCCAGGCTGGATGTGGCTCTGGGCAGCCTGGTCTGCTGTTGGTGATCCCGCACACAGCAGGGGATCGAAACTAGATCTTTGAGATCCTTTTCAACCTAGGCCATTCTATGATTCTAAAATTAGCACGTGACTAAAAATGCAGCTTATGTATATGAAGGATATTTGAAATAGACAGTGCACTTCTAGTGTGAACTATGGAAATAATTGGAATTAGATCACTGTTCAGGGAGTGAGAGCACACTGGGTGTAGAGGTGCCCATCCAGTCCGGACTTGGTTTTAGAGTTAAGATGCTGACACACTGCTGTTTGTTCCAACATAACCTCACTGTCTGTGCTATGGCAGGCAGAAGTTTGCCTTCAACCAGTGTTGTTATTTGTTGATATTCAAAAATAAATATCAAAATAAATGTTCAGAGAGAGAATAGTCTGTATAGCTTGTCAAAATCTCCAGGGAGCAGGCACTACCATTCTTTCCAAAGCAGCAAGAGGGAAGTAGGCATGTAAATTATGTCTGCCCGTCTAAGCAGAAGTGCTAGTTCTGCTGGATTTAGCAGAATTTTCTTGCTCTCCTATCTGAGAAGGAGCCAAACTCACAACTGCCATGCGCTGGTGTTATCCTGCTGTTTATACTGTGGATCAGAAGTGCCGTTGTGTTTATCCCCAGCCATCTGGGAGAGAGCATCCTGATTGTGCTCCACTTCTTCAGCTAGTGATGTTTAAATATACATAGGTCTGATTAATTCAATAACAGGGAAAGGTTGAGTCCAATCCTAATGGATCCAAACTCGGCTGGCCTTCCCCATTTTTAAAGATGCAGGCGATCTTTGGATGTGCAAACCCTTCTGAGATCTGTTGAAATGGGAAAGCTGGTGAGGTTCAGGCAGGAGATGTAGAGCTGGTGCCTGTGCTTCTCTTAAATTCCCACCTGGCTTTGCTGTGCTCCTTGTGTCATTTGTGTAACAGCAAAAGCTGCTCTCAGATGTGGCTGCATTTGTTTAATGCATTGATAGTGGGCATATGTTCTGAGATAAATCCACATTCAGAAATATAAATATACGTGCATGTATACGTGTGTGTGTGTATATAAGTAATCAACTGCTTCTATTAATATAGCATCAATTAATTCCTAACCATCCTCCTCAAAGGGTGAAATCTTTTGGCTTTATCCAAGTAGGCCTTTAGGCAAAGAAGCCTAAATATGAGCCTTGGAGCACTGTGGTTATCCCAAGATTTTGTTGTTGGATCAACACGGCTGCTTGAATAGTGTCAAATGCACTCCACAGGAAACAACTTGCAAGGCAATTGGGTGAAGCAATCTCCAGATACGTATCTCCTGGCCTTTGCCAGAGCTTGTACACGTCACATCAGACACCCTGAGCACCACAGACCATCTGCCTGGGTGCTGCTGGAAGGGATGGTCAGACCTGCCAGCTCTGCCTGCGCATGTCAGGCTGGCTGGGAAGGTTGGGTCCCAGCCACTGGTAGTTTGCTGGTCGATCTGCGATTGTTTGAAGGGAGGATTTCTGTCACTGTAAGTTGCTCGTGGAACTTTGTGTTTCTTTGGAAGTGGCTTCTAGCTAAGCAGACCCACACTGTACAGCTTTGCATGGACTGTGAGTGATGGGAGCTGAGGGAGGAGATTTGCTCCAGTGCTGTAACAGGCTGGAAACAGAAAGCAATTTTTATGTCATTTAGGAAAATAGTCTTTGTGGATAAAAGATGTGGCTCCACACTGGCTGGAGGTTATGCTATGGCTCAGTTGATTATAAACTTGAAGTCTTATAGGGCATAAAAAGACCAAGTTTGTGACCTGTGTTCAGATTTCAGCTCAGACCTGGGATTAGCTCTGCAGTCCTGCTGCTTTGCAAATGCATTCTGCCTTCAGCTGCACTTAATACAGATATCTGCTGCTTGGAGCAGTGCCTCCTGCTCGCTATGGAGGGTGTCTGGGTGGCACGCCAAGATCCCGTCCCAAATATCTTCTGGATTGATTGGGAAATGCATGAAACAAGGCCCAGGGCCCAGAACTTCATATGCTGTTTCAAAGCAAGATAGTTCTGTCTTTCATCTCTACCCGTATTCTCTTCACTGGTGAGATAAACAACGTGCTGTCTCCTATATGGAGAGTGCACTGTGGAGCAAGCTGGGTTTACTCTGCGTTCAGCCAAGACCTGGGGATACTCTGGGGGATGGGAATGTGAGAAAGCTGCTTGCTTGCTTTTCGACTTTTTCCCTCACTTCATTGTGTTTCTGTGGGCGACTCCCTGGTGATAAATGAACTATAGTGTCTGAGGAGAAAAAGTAATCTTGCTGTGGTATTGTTTCAAATCTGCAAGAATTTCAGTCGTCGTCTTGAATGCATTACGTTCTCAGGAGTGGTTTTGTTAGAGTATACTGATTTGGAAAAGGATCATATTTATGATACCTCTCTCTCTTAATTCAACATACAGTTTCTAAATGCTGATGCTGAAAGTTTTCCCTTGCAGAAGATTTGCTTAACGTAAATTTTCTGTCCTGCTTTGCTGAGCTGCTCAGAACACAATGGCGTTTGCGCAGGCTTCTCAGCAGGTGGATCTAATCATGCAGAGATTTCTTTCACTGTGTTTATTTCTCACCGAGTAGAAGCCATTGATTTAGACATCAGATACTAAGCTGGCATAATTATTTAAAATAAACACGGGGCTGTTACAAGACTGCTCTGAAATTGTGTTCCTTCCAGATGTGCAGAAAGTTGCTTAAGGCGGTGCCCCAAAGGACACATTGCCTTCTGTGGCAGTTGGGTTGCTTGTTGCAGAGACATCTCTGATTCTTACTAGTGCCAATGCCAGTGAGAACCTGGCAAGGACGGGCCGCAGTGCATTTGAAAAGAATGCTATTGAGGAGGTTTTCAGGTAGCTGGCTTAGTATGTGAGAGATGGATGCCTGCAGGTGTGAGCGCTGTCAATTTATGCTGGCACAGGTGAGAGCTGTCTGCCTCCTCCTGCCAGAAGCTGCTGCAGGTGGGGCAGCCTGGCTCTCCTTCCATCTCCTCAGGTGCCTCCCCTTGCAGCCAGGCAGAGCAACTTTAAAAAAAAGAAAAGGGTTCAGCTGGAGGCACTTTGCCAGCCAGCACACTGCAGCTGAAGGGCTGAAATGCAGGGTGGTAATTTCCTTCATCGGGGTGGGGTGCATTCCTGTGGGCACGAATCTTTTATGTTTCCTTGGTCTGAATCGCTAGATTTGTCTGGAGATTGCTGTTCCCAGTGAGCTGTGGGGATGCTGGTGGCTGGTGCACCTCACAGGCACCACACGTCCCACTGTTGGGCCCTAAGAAGGGCTAATTCTCTCTTCCTGAGGGAGCGCTGCCACCAGTGCAGCAGCAAAGCTTGCACATCCCTGCTGCCAGGGATACCCAGCGATCCCTCAGGTGGAAAACCCAACACTGGGGCAACTCAGCTCTTGGTGAGAATGTGCCATCGCCCTCGGTCTGGGAAATGGCTCTGGTGTGGGGCTGGGCAGCAGCGCTTGGCTGCGCTCTCTAGGATTCCTCCCCCCTTGAAAAAAAATGCTATTCTAAAAATATTAAACTAAATGCACCAGGCTGAGGCATGCACTGAGCACATTGCCCCTTGTCCTTTTCTCAAGGCAGGGGCTGTGCTGCGGTGCCCAGACAAACCTGCATTTTATTCCAAACCAGGTGTGAGATCAGCCAGGTTGTAAACCAACTGCTGCTATTATTAATGTGTCTCCCTGCTTAAGCTGTCAGTGTCTGTTTTGTGTCTTGTTAGACTACAATCCAGCTCTTTTTGTATGGGAAAGAGGGTGCTCATTTCGGTCTGTGCTCTGCACTATTGAGAACAGGATCATGAGAGATGAGGAGGTGACCCAAGACAGCCAGCACAGCTTCCCCAAGGGCAGATTGTGCATCACCAATCTGATGGCCTTCTACAATGCAGTGACAACATCAGTGGACAAAGGATGGGCAACTGATGTCATCTACCTGGACTTGTGCAAGGCCTCTGATGATGGTCCTACACCACATCCTTATTTCTGAATTGGAAGGATATGGGTTTGAAGAGTGGGCTAATTGGTGGATAAAGAATTGGATGGTCACAGCCAGAGGGTTCTTGACAGTGGTTTGGATGGAGGCAATGACCAATGGTGTCCCCTGGCAGTCTGTTCATCTGTGGAGGTGTTCAAGGCCAGGCTGGATGAGGCCCCGGGCAGCCTGATTTACTGCCTGATTTAGCCAGCAGCATTGGGGTTGGAACCGGATGGTCTTTAAGGTCTCTTCCAACCCAAGCTATTTGATGATTCTGCTATGTAGAAAGCTAAAGCTCCTGGTGCTTTGAGGAGCTGCAGCTGCATTGTGGAAGCCTGGCTTGTGCCTGGAGGGCTAATGAGGTGCAATCAGGTCACTTGGCACCATTGCCTTGTCCAAAGAGACCTGCAAACAGATCTTGAGCATCCAAATCCTGCTTGTAGGGTCAAATGGGAGGCCCACAGTGTGCTCAGGAGGAGTTTTTCATGAGCAGTAAGGATCTGACAGTCAGTAGAATGGGAAGGCTATTAAGAAAACATTCATTAACTCAGGTGGACCTAATCATCTGGTTAAAGGGAACATACATTGCAAAACTTCCACAAAAAAAAAAACAAAACCAACATGGTAATTATTCCTAATTGTACTTCCAGCTCTCAAAAACCAGTTTCAAATTTCCTTTTTTTTTTTTTTTTTTTTTTTTTTTTTAAACAACTGTTAGTCTTTGCATGTGTGGGTAATTCTGTTACAACTGAAATGAGAAATGATTTTGAAACGTGTCTTGTAGAGTTAGGTAGCATTTGACAGGAGCAGGAAATCTGCAGTAACAGCTTCCCAAGCACAGTATTGGTGCTCTAAATCCATTTGGGGTGGCATTGCTGCTGGCTGCAGGCAGCCCCCCTGCACTTCTTGGCCTTTGGGAGCACAGTGTTGGGCCTCAGCCACTTCCAAGCAACCTCAAAATGTGAAAGATTCTTTTAGTATTATTTTTTTTTTTCCTCTTTTTCTCTTCCTCCTTCTCTCCTCCTCCCCCCTCCCCTTTTTTTTTTACCTTCTTTTTCAATTTCTTTTATTTTTTTATTTCCTTTGGGTTTTTCATTTCCATTTTTCCCTCGTTTTCCTTTCTCCCTTTCCCTCTTTTTCCCTTTTTTTTTTTTTCTTCTTTCCTTTCCCTTTCCTTCACCCCCTTTTTCCTTTGTTCCCTTTCCCCATTTTTTCACCTCTCTTGCATCTTCCATCTCCCCTTTCTTCCTCTTCCAACCTTTTCCTTTCCCTTTTTTATTCCTTCCCATCCTGCTTATCTTCCCCACCCCCTTTTTATTTTCTCCCCCATTATATCCCATCTCCCCAGTTTTTCAAACTCGCTCAGTTCGCACCCCATCCAAGTCCCTGCTCAGGAAGCGCGGGGGGGGGGGGGCAGGAGCTGGCTGCGTGTGGGTTAGGGAATCACCATCTCCGTTTGCATTCCCCCCCCCAAACCCAAGCCATCTCTCCGCGGCTTTCCCTCAACCCTCGGGAACTCCGTACGCGTCCGGAGGAGCCCAGCCCAAAGGAAGTGACAAAGAGCCCGGGGGTGTCACCACCTGCCTCCGTGCCCGGCACCGAGCACACCCAGCGCTTATACGAGCGTGGGAGCGGAGCCGATCCGCATTGTGTTCCCTCCTCCCCCCCCCCCTCCCCGGAGCCGCAGCGATCCCGGCCGGGCTCCCCCCGCTCGCTGCCGGGGAAAGGGGGGGGTCAGGAGCCGCCTCCCAGCGGGGCGGGCAGCGCGGGGTGAGGCGCTGCTGGGGAGATGCGGTGCGGCTGCGTGAGGAGGTGAGTGGGGGGTGGTGGTGGGGTTGGGGGGGGGGGGTGGTGGTGGGGTTGGGGGGGGGGGGGGGGGGGGTGTTGCTGCGGGCCGTAAGGCAGCGGCTGCGTGGGAAAATGCTTGGGAAGTTCAGCGACAAAGAGAGAGCGGGCAGTGCGCTGGTAACGTTGGGTGGGTTGGATTCAAAGATAAATAGACTGAAGCGGCAAACTCGTATGGTCTTTTTGGGAATGAGTTATGAGTTTCTGTCGATGACTTTTCCCCCCGACGCGTTTTTCATCGAGCGGAGATTTATGATTAGAATAACAAGTCGTAGTGCTATAGAAAGGGAAGTTTTATCGAAGCAGATGAAAGTTCTTTGAAAGAGCAGCGCTGGGGTTTTCCCACAAAAGGCGTGAACGAGGTCGGGGCTCTGTTCCAACCCGCTGGGAGAATGCTTCAGGTGAAGCACGGCACAGATTGCAACTTGATCGAACACGAAGTTCTTCTGTAGCGGTGGCACAGTGCATTGATTTCAGCCACATCCTGCTGGAACATCGCACTGGTGGGGCTGATGGCACCGATGGGATGGAATGGAGGGGTCACTGCTGCCTGGCTGCCTTCTAATGTGTTTCTAATACCTGGGAATCCCCGAGCCCTGCTGCACAGGTGTGCTGTTCTCCCTGCTGGCATTCAGCAGGAAGGCAGTGGTTTCCTCGCAGCATGTCTGTGCTGCGGGGTGGCTCCTTCTGCTCCCTGTGGTTTTGCTGTGTGTGTCATAGCCCTTCTCCGAAGTGTTTCGCTGAGCCTTACGCCCTGTATCTTCAGAAAACAGAGGTCTTGGGCTTCCCCCAGCTGCTCCCTCTATGGGGGGAGACCGTCAGTGTTGATGTGATTACTTTATGGTTCTTTTGCATTTAAACAGAAGGAAAAGGACTTTGCCCACCTTCCTGAGGTCCTTACAGACATTGAAGGGTGACATTAAATGTGCTGTTTGTGCAAGCAGATTCATCACAGGCAAAATCCAAAAGTTGCAGTGCATTGCTTGTAAAAGTGTGCATTTACTTGAAGGGCATCCTAAACATCTGTATTTGTGTGCTTGTTTTAACTGATGTTATGAATGTTACTGCTGAATCTATGCCATAGCTGAAGATGCACAGAACTTGTAGTTTGCTGGAGTTGCATAACCTGGGGGAGAAATCAGTGACTCTTGGAGTGACCGTGCTCTGCCACTCTCTCCCAATTCTCCTATAGCTATTCCAATGGAAACAGCTGGAAAACCTCTATTTCCGTGAGAAGAAGTTTGCTGTGGAAGTGCACGATCCCCGCAGGTGAGGCTGGAGGGGCACCCAGAACCACGGGAGGAGTCTCTCCCAGTGTGGGCATTCGTTGTCCCTGCAAACTGATGGGTGGGATGGGATCTTGTGCTGATGTCAATGCAGAACTGTGTTTAATTAACTGGCTATGGAGCCAACCCCTGGGAGTTAGAGGGGAGAAAAGGGAGCAGCGGGTGGGGGGTGAGAAGGAAATCCAAGTTCTGATCTCTAGCATGAAGCCTTGACTGATGAGGAAACAGGCTTTGGGGGCTTTAAACCCAGCAGGGCTGTCCTCAAGTTGCATTTCTTTTCACCTCTTCAGGATTTCAGTGTCAAGAAGGACCTTTGGTCAGAGCGGGCTGGTAGTGCAAACCTGGTATGCAAACACTTCCCTGATCAAATCCATCTGGGTAATGGCAATCAGTCAACACCAGTTCTACTTGGACAGAAAACAAAGCAAAGTAAGTTACACGGCATTTTGCTGTAGGCATGAGCTTCAACACCTCTCCTGCATGTCCTTCAGTGTATGTTGTTCCATGGATAAACTGCTCTCCAGAGAAAAAATGCAAATAGTTTTCATCCGCTTTTTGAGCAGACTATCAGCTATGGTATTGTTATAGGATCCATTTGAGCCTGCCTCCAATTAAGAGCAATGGAAGTGTAATCACAGCAAAGAGAATTCCCACGTCTCAGTGTTTAATATGCCTTTTTTTCTTTTGTCTCTTCTGGTGTTCATTTTGAGAAGAGCGCAAATAGAGAAGGGATTTGGAAGCAGTTCAGGCTTTGGGGCCGGGTTGAAGGAGTGCTGGGGCAGTCAGCTCTTGTGCGAGGGTTTTGTGGGGGATGAGGTGTGAAATGGCATCTTCTGTGACCTTGTGTTCTGAAATTAATTAGAAGTAACTTGATCTCATTTTTTAACTCCTTCAGGCAAAAATTCCTTCAGCCAGAAGTTTGGATGATATCGCCATGGATTTGACAGAGATGGGAACACCAAAAGTTTCAAAGCTAGTGACTCTGGAGGCAAAAAATCAGCTTATTATGGCCAGCAGTGGCAGCTTAATCTCATCAGGTAATGCTCTGTGTAAATCAAAGCCTTGTATACAGCAGGGCTTGTGTGTGTAGGAAGGGACAATGAGTCCAGCTGACCATAAATACAGCAAAACTGTGACAGCATGCGTTAGTTTACATATGAGATGGTAACATCTGTTGTTATCATATGCTGTTTCCTCTCCTGCTATAACTAACAAAGAAGTAAAAATATGCTGAAGGCAGATAAGCACCCGTGTAATCTTGATCCATAAGTAACTTGCCATCAGTTTACCAGTTAGTCTGTCCTTGGATGACTGCGTGTCCCATCTGAGTTTGAGGGCAGTTTAATCCAAGCAAGTTTCAAGCACCTGCCCTAGGTGTTGAATGGACCTGAGCTTCCTCAAAAATCAGCAGAAAAGAGACATTTTCTCAAATAAAATTTGGCTCTGAAGTGGGCTCTGGATGTCTCTGCCACCTATGGAGGAGGTCTGGGCAGACGGAAGCCTGCCTGGTCCCACCAGAGTGCCTGGAGCTGAAACCCAAGCAAGGGCCATCAGTGTCTGTACCAAGTATCATAGATATCCGTAATGCTAATCCTAATGTTCTGGATAGTGGGTTTTCAGGTTTCATGCTTGAGGCTTACTTGCAGTTGTTGGGGGTTTGAAGGAGTGTGGATTTTCTTAGAGCCTGCATCCTGGATAGCACAGGGGCTGGATGTTTTGTCTCAAAGGTGATGCAGTGTGACTAGGTCAGCCAGCTCTGAGGAGATCTCAGTTCACCTGCCTGTTGTAGGACAGAATGAAATGACTTTTACCTGCAAATTCTCTAATAAAATAATTATATTTTTCAGGCTCTCAGGATTCAGAAGTGAGCGAAGAACAAAAGAAGGAGAAAATTATGGAGCTAAAGAAGAAAGAGAAACTCCTTCAGGAAAAACTACTCCAGAAAGTTGAGGAGCTGAAGAAAATCTGCCTGCGTGAAGCGGTGAGAGCCTGGGGGTGGAGGTGGGTGAGAGCCCTTCTTGCCCATTGGACCTTCACGTAGAGCCCTCTCTGTTCCTCAGGAGCTGACGGGCAAGATGCCAAAGGAGTATCCTCTGAGCGCTGGAGAGGAACCTCCCCAGGTCAGAAGACGTGTTGGCACAGCCTTCAAGCTGGATGACAACCTGCTCCCTACTGAGGAGGTGAGTGATGTGGCTTGTTTGCACAGCAGAGGTGGGGTGGTCAGACCGGTGGCCAAAGCTACTTCTAAACAATTCTGCTCTTCCCTGGTGATTTAAGATGAGACAGTCGCATGCCTGTGCTGAGGGGATTTTGACAGGTGCTGCCCTTATTTCAGCCTTAAAGCCCTCTGGACTGCACCCTGGTTTGGCTGCATTACTTATATCTTAATGTGAATGTTGCTGCTAATTGGAAAAGAACAGATAGATAATGCCATTTGGCAGTGTGTGACTGTGAGTTTTCCTCCTCATGAGCTCTGATTTGTTTT